AACATCAAGGCTTTTGGAGATACTTTTGTAACCCTTTCCAGCTTCATGCAAGTCAACAATTCTTGATCGTAGGTCTTGTGAGAGCTCTTTTCTGTGAGGCATGGTTCACATCAGACAGTGCTTCTTGAAACTAGTAAACCCAAAACAGGTGTGTGTTTTTTAAGGGCAGGACAGCTGTCAGCAACACATCCAATATCATCACACTGATTGGAGTCAAGGTTGGCTCACTCCTGGCTCCAATTAGCTCTGGGAGAAGTCATTAAACTAGGGGCTCACATACTTTTTCCTTCCTGCACTGTGAATGTTTACATGTTATGTGCAGTTAAACCATGACAACATCTAATGTTTGTGTAGTATTATGTTCAGCAGACTATGTTCTTCTATTGTTGTGACTTAGATGATGTTCAGAGCACATTTTATGCCCAATTCATGCAAAACTCCACGTAATCCCAAGGAGTTCACATACTTTTTCTTGCAACTGTATTATTGCTGGAGGCACTGAGATCAGTAACCTCGCACTGTTACATATAATCTTGCCATACCTACCATTCACTGTCATTGTGGTGCATGTAGCCCCAAGGATAGAACAAAAAATGTGTTGACACAACGCCCCCTTACTTTTTTACTGTATTCCCTGATCAGATTGACTAGATCTGGCCCTGCTTTAAGTGAGGGGGTGGCTTTTCTGCTCCTTCCATGGATAGTTCCCCCTCCCAATGTTGAAAGACACAATCACTGTCCTCCCGTTCCTGGCTACCCAAGCTCATGCTTTGATAGGGTGGAGTTTGCTGTTTTTTTTCATGTCTTTTTTTAATTATACAGTATATTGTACTGTTCTGTAATGCCGCATGCAGTTTTTTTGCAAGTCATCCCCCAAGCATGCTTTTAGTCTTACCCCTTAAGCCACATGAAAAAACCTACTTCCTGCTCAATGGGATTTTTTTTTGCATTGGTACATGTTCCTCATGGCAATGCTCAGCTCCCCATGCCATTTTCTCAATATTAGCTTGCTTATTAGCCTTGAAAATGGCCATAAAAATTAACAAGATTCACCAATAGACTTCAACGAGGTTTGGCACTAAGTTTGGGGTTTTCAGACTTCCTGCTGGGTTTGCTGAACCTCCAGTGAAACAACCTAAACAGGTGAACTCATTTCTAGCTACAAGTTAACATGGAGGTTTGGCCATCTTTAAAGTAACCAAATGCAAGGATATACAGTACATTTGGCATTATAAAATGTGCATGAATGCTGCATTCACCCATTTTTTAATGCTTTTTTTAGACATGTACACATGCACATACAGTTGCCATAGAGATGAGTGAACTTTTACATTGAATGGGCATTTTTTGTTGAATCTAGCTTAGTCAGTATTGTTTGATCAGATAAACAGAACATACAGTGCCCTTAAAATGTGTTGTTAGATAATACGGCAAGGACAGCAAATACACCAGTGTTATTTATACAGAGTAACTAATTTTTTATGATTTATACAAAACAACTAATACAAGGAAGTATGTAGGAGGGTCTGTTCTTCAAAATATTTTTTGTGCACTTAATAAGATAAAAGTTTACATAGACAATAAAGGTCTCAGTAAATAAAAAAATCTGCCTTGTCTTTTACCCAGATTTCCAAAACAAAAGTTTGGCAGGGGGATCCACAGAATGCAACAGGGAACATGGGCGATCAACAATGGACATCAGGACTGAGAGCAATTTGAATTGCTGGATGGCTTGATTATGATGGATTTACAGTGTGGGACACTTCTGCTTCTTTCTTTTTTTTATTAACCACTTGCAGACCGGCCACCCACAATGTATTGCGGATGGGCAGCCCAAACAGGTACAGCAACATACCTATACATCTCTGGCCTCTTCCAGGTACAGGATGCGTGCGTGCCACCACCCACCAGCTCCCAGTCTGTACATAGCAGGAGTTTCTCAGCAGGTCCTGGCCAATGATTCATGGTCTGATGATTGGCTGTGTCTAATCCCAGCCCAGATCCCTGTGTTGACAATCAACACAGTACTGTACAGAGGGAACAATCTCTTTGTTTCTTCTCCCCGCGAAGCAGGGAAATGAAACAAAGAGATCTTATTAAAAAGCAGTACACATTACATACACTTGTTAGGCACATAATTTTGAAACTGATGGCAGTAATACATCTCAAAAAAGTTGGGTCAGGACAAAAAAAGCTGGCAAAGTAAGTGTTACTAACAAGGAAGAGCTGGAATAACATTTTGCAACTAATTTGATTAATTGACAAAAAACCAGTAACATGACTGGGTATAAAAAGTGCATTTTAGGGGGTCAGATTGTTCAGAAGTAAAGATGGGCAGAGGTTCACCAATCTTTGAAAAGCTGCACTTGAGAATTGTTGAACGATTTCAGAATAATGTTCCTCAATGTAAAATTGCAAAGACTTTAAATATATAACCATCTACGGTACATATTACACTGTTCAACAAATTTTTATTTTTTGCCAGTTTTGGAAACAAAAGGATCCATTTCTTAATGAATTTCACATTCTGAGTTCAAATATAACAATGAATTTGTCAATTGGCTCCAGTTTTTCTGTAAACGGAAAGTTTTCTACTATAGGCGTAATGACTACATAATGCACAATAATTATATAGATAGATGTCTTTCCACAAAATATAAAGCAAGTGATATTGACTACATAACAAAGCCTAAATGGCATAATATATTGCATAGGATTACCAAGAAAAATTATAGCCATAAGCTAAGTTGAATCATTTTAATACTTAGGATTCTCACTAGTTTTGTCTTCAGTTTGTGTCGGTTTTGCTTCTCTTGGCTTTTCTCTTGTATTCGAGGAGGAAAGGGCTATCTCTTACAACTGTCCAGCAATAGTCAGCAAGCATTGATGGGCTCCATTTACCTTGATATCTTCTTTCCATAGCTGCAATGTCTTGATGGAAGCGTACGAACATCACTTGCTGGAGATTCCACTGTTGTAGTCTTGACCCCAAAAGCTCTGCCTTGTTCTTCGGAAGATGCAGGTCTCTGATAAGATCGCTCAATTCCACTTGTGTAATGAGGTGTGGTTCAGTGGGTGTGGATGGAAGAAAGTCTGGGTCATGTGAGGTTGACGGTTGATGACTACACGCTTCAGGTTCTTCCTCACTTGACTCAACCACGAAGGATTCTGGTGCTTTAGGAATTGGTAGCCCCTCTCCATGAGGAACTGGACGTATTGCCGATGGAATATTTGGATAGTGCACAGATAACTTTTTTTTCTTATTTAGCCCTTTTACAATTGGAGGCACCATACAAAAGTAACAATTACTAACATGATCTGTTGGCTCTCTCCAAATCATTGGCACAGCGAAAGGCATAGATGCCTTTTTTCCATTCAACCATTGCTCCAGTGCCGTCCCACAAGAATTGCAGCATATATGTGGTGCCCAGCTCTTGTCCTGGTCTCCTATCTTGCAGCCAAAATACAAGTTGTAGGCTTTCTTAATCATTCCTGTTATCCTCCTTTTTTGTGAGATAAAAGTTATTTCACCGCAGATATAGCAGAAATTATCTGCTTTATTCACACAAGTTCGAGGCATTACTGAGTAGCCTATATAAGCATAAAACGAAATGTAAAGATGCTGTCGAACTACAATCAGCTACAGATACTGCAGCTTTTATGCAGTGAAGTGATGCAATTAAAGGCTAATATTGCATCATCTCAGTATACATGCAATTTTCTATTGGTCACCAGTATCAATTGCGCAATATGCAGCTGAAGTTGCATCATAATTTTGAATGGCTTACGTCATTAGATGGGTGAATATATCATGGAAACTAGAGCCAATCAACATTTTTTTAGGGTCATTTTCGTTTTCAGCACCCCAAAATTATGTAAGATTAGCTAATTTTATGCCCAAAACTTTTTACCTGTTGAACAGTGTTATCAAAAGATTCCAAGAATCTGGAGAAATTTCTGTGCACGGACAAGGCCAAAATGCATTACTGGATGCTCTTGATCTTCAGGCCCTCAGATGGCGCTTTATATTAAAAACAGGCATGATTCTGTGGTGGACATCACTGCATTGGCTCAGGAATAATTCCAAAAAACACAGTTCACTGTGACATCCAAAAATGCAAAGTAAAGTGCTATGATGCTTAAAAGAAGCCATATCTGAACATAATCCAGAAACACCACCATCTTCTCTAGGCCGATGCTCATTTAAAATGGTCTGTTGCGAAGTGGAAAACCGCTCTGCGGTCAGACAAATCAAAATTTGAGATTCTTTTCAGCAACCTTTTCCGGCTTGTTCAAAAGCCTGCATCTCTGTGGTATGGGAATGAATTAGTACGTATGGAATAGGCAGCTTGCACATCTGGAAAGGCACCATCAATGCTAAAAGATACTGTGTTTCCAGCTTTAAGAGCAGCATAGGATCCCATCAAGACAACATATTTTTCAGGGGAGGCCTTGCATATTTCCACAGGACAAAAAGCCACATTCTGCATCTGTAACAACAGCATGGCTTTGTATTAGAAGAAACCAGGTGCTTAACCACTAGCCTACAGGGCACTTATGCCCCCTTCCTGCCCAGGCCAATTTCCAGCTTTCAGCGCTGTCACACTTTGAATGACAATTGCGCGGTCATGCAACATTGTACCGATATGACATTTTTATCATTTTTTTGAGACAGATAGAGCTTTCTTTTGGTGGTATTTAATTACCTCTGGGATTTTTATTTTTTCTTAAACAAACCAAAAACCACTGAAAATTTTGAAAAGAAAATGTTTTTTCTTAGTTTTTGTTATACAATTTTGTAAATAAGTGATTTTTCTCCTTCACTGATGTGCGCTAATGAGGCTGCAGTGATGGGCACTGATAGGCTGCACTGATGGACACTGATTGGCAGCACTGATGGGTACTGATGAGGAGGCACTGGTAGGTGGCACTGATGGGCATTGACAGGCATCACTGATGGGCACTGAAAGGTAGCACTGATACATGACACTGATATATGGCACTGATAGGAGGCACTGATAGGCAGCACTGACTGGCACTGATAAGCAGCACTGACTGGCACTGTTAGGCGGCTCTGACTGGCACTGATAGGCGGCTCTGACTGGCACTGATAGGCGGCACTGACTGGCACTGATAGGTGGCACTGATTGGCAGCACTGATAGGTGGCACTGATTGGCATTGATAGGTGGCACTGACTGGCACTGATGGGTGACATTGAAAGGCAGCTCAGATGGACACTGATATGTGGCATTGATGTAAACTGGTATGCACTGATATGTAGCATTGATGTGGCACTGATGGGCACTGGCACGTGGCACTGATGGGCACTGGCACGTGGCACTGATGAGCACTGACAGGTGGCACTTCTGGGGCCACACTGATCATCAGGGCACACTGATCATCAGTGCCCTGATGATCAGTGTACATGTCCCCTCCGCAGAAAGCCGATTACCGGCTCTCCTCTCCTCTCGAGCTGTCAGCGTGACAGCTCGAGAGGAGAGAAATGCCGATAACTGTCATTTCCGTGTTTACATGTGATCAGCTGTGATTGGACACAGCTGATCACATGACCGAGCCGACATCTTCGAGGGACACAGCAGACCAGCGATTGCCACGCTGTGCGCTCCCTGAGCTGCGCATGTGCAGTGAGAATGGTAGGACGTCATATGACGTCCTATCAGAACGAGAGAACCACCTTGTGCCCGTCATTGAACTATAGGGCGGGCGAAAGGTGGTTAACTGGCCTGCCTGCATTCTAGACCTTTCCCCAATTGAAAATATTTGGACCATTTTAAAATGCAATATACAACAAAGAAGACTCAGGGCTGTTGAGCAGTTAGAATCCCATACCAAGTAAGAAAAGGACAACATTCCTCTCCCATAACCCCAGTTACCATGGTAAACATGGCCATGTCCCAATTTTTTTGAGACATGTTGCTGCTATCAATTTCAAAATTACCTTGTTTGTTTTCTTAAAATGTTAGATTTTTTTTTCTTTTTAAACTTTAGGTATGTTTTCTATTTTCTATTGTGAATAAATATAGGTTTATGGGATTTGCAAAACATTGCTTTCAGTTATTATGTAGATTTTACACTGCGTCCCATCTTTTTTGGAATTGGGGTTGCAAAAAAATGAGAAAACAGCAGCACAACAGCAACAGAGCCTGCTTCTGACACACAAGATAGTAGTCCTAAAAAGGACTAGTGGGTCTGCTTAAATTGTAATAAATGCTGGAGGGCTTACACTGCACAGGAAGTGAAGGTTAATTTCCCCAATGGGACACAGATGACCAAAAAAAAGCTGACAGGGGTTTTAACCCTCCCTTACACTATCAAAAATGAAAAAAAAAGTTCCCTGTAGTTCAACCTTAACATGGATACATTTTAACTTTTTGATTGCTCAATCTGCTTATTTGTATGAATCAACAAATAGTGTTGATAACAGTGCTGCCACTGGTCCTTCCGGACGCAAAACACAGCCAACATGTTAATGTGTGCCCTCACCAGGTCCTAACACTCTCCTCTGGGGCCTATCAATTACCAGAATGGCGCCATGTCAATTAATCCTGAGTTTTGCCAGTCAGTTTATGTATCACTCTCACTAATGTTTGAAATGCTTCTTGTCTCTGTCAGTAAAATGCTTTTATTAAAGTACCAGCTGTAAACCTGAACACTGGGAAAAAAAGGTTTATCTTTGCAATCGATCCCCTACGCATTGCAAGGGTAAAGCGGAGCATCAGTCAAAATGTAAAAAAATTAAAGTTAGCAGCTACATAAACTGTAGCTGCTGACTTTTAAAAAACAGGCACTCACCTGTACCTCGATCCAGCGGTGTCCTCAACGCAGCTGGTTTGACCGGCTGACCTCGCTCTCCGGCGCTGGCATCTTAAGTGGAGGCACCCGGCTGTGACAGTTTTCTGCTTTATAACAGGGTGCCCACTGCACATGCGCAAGTAGCGCTGCACCTTGTGAGTGGTCCCGTAGTCTTCTGGGACCTGTCACATGTTCCAGAAGACTACTGGGATGGAGATAGGCAACTTACGCTTCCAATCTCCTAGGCCCCAAAAGGAGCCAATCCTTAACGGAGAGCAGGGGACAAGGCCTTAAAGCAGAACTTCCCCTTTTGGGTGGAGCTCTGATTTAACTGCTTGTTTTGCCTAGGGCAGCGTTTTTCAACCACTGTGCCGCGGCACACTAGTGTGCCGTGAGATATTGTCTGGTGTGCCGTGGGAAAAATTCCAATTTCATCCGTAACATGTGGCCTCGGCTCACAAATAGACCAATCATTAGAATCGAATGATTGGTCTATTTGTGAGCCGAAGCGCATGTTACGGACTATAAATAGCTCCGGTGTCACTGTTACACTGACAGGAGAAGACATCGCAGTAGATCGCCGATGCGCAGAAGAGCACCGAAGGATCTGGACTCTGGAGGATTATCGCGGACGCAGCACAGAAGAGCGCTGAGTGATGGATCTGGAGGAGACAGGAGCAGAAGAGCGCTGACTGATGGATCTGGATGGAGTGCTGAGTGTGACGGACAGCGGCTATCTGGAGGAGACAAGCGCAGTAAGTACTGAGTGACAGTGAGACAGGAACAGATACTGCAGTGATGGACAAATTTTTGAAAAGGAAAGAACTGGACTCTGAACAAAATTCGGAGCCAGATAAGAGCCCAAGTATGAGTGGGGATCAAAAGAAAGCAAAGATGGTTAGCTCAAGGAAATTCTCTGGCACAAGGCAATATAGCGAAAGCTATATTTCATTTGGATTTACTTTCACCGGAGATGCAAAGAAACCAACTCCACTGTGTGTGGTGTGTGGTGAAAAGCTATCTAACAGTGCTATGGTCCCAAGTAAACTTAAACGCCATCTCCAAACGAAACACCCTTCGCTTCAAAACAAGAATGCAGACTTTTTTGTTCACCTGCGTGAAAACACGGAGAAACAGGCAACTTTCATGAGAAAAACCACAAAGGTAAATGAAAGAGCTCTTAAAGCTAGCTATCAAGTTGCTGAACTTATAGCCAAGTCAAAAAAAGTTGCACACTGTGGCAGAGACATTAATACTTCCCGCCTGCAAAGCTATTGTAGAGGAGATGCTCGGACCTGAAGCAGCTAAGGAAATAGACAAAGTCCCTCTCTCAGACAACACAATTTCCAGACGTATTGATGACATGTCTGCAGACATAGAAAGTGTGGGTTTGGAAAAGATCCGTATCAGTGAGAAATTTGCATTGCAACTTGACGAGTCTACTGATATCAGTGGACATGCTCAACTCTTGGCCAATGTGCGTTTTGTGGATGGTGATGCAATTAGAGAAAACTTCTTTTTTTGCAAGGCATTGCCAGAAAAAACAACAGGAGAAGAAATTTTTCGGGTCACATCAGAATACATTGAACAAGGAGGACTTAAGTGGGAAAACTGCACAAGTGACTGCACCGATGGAGCTGCAGCCATGGTCGGGCGCACCAAAGGCTTTGTAAGCAGAGTGAAGGAAAGAAATCCAGATGTGATTGTTACGCATTGTTTTTTACACCGTGAGGCCCTCGTAGCCAAGACTTTACCAGCAGACCTAGTTCCTGTGTTGGATGATGTTGTGCGCATGGTAAACTTTGTAAAGTCACGACCCGTGAAAAGTCGCATGTTTGCAGCTTTGTGTGAGGAGATGGGAGCGAAGCATAAAACCTTGCTGTTTTCATACGGAGGTCCGGTGGTTGTCGCGTGGCAAGGTCTTGGTTCGTGTGTATGAGCTGTGGGAGGAACTTAAAGTGTTTCTGACAAATGAGAGGTCAGATTACGCAAAGCTGCTTGCAAGTGATGAGTGGTGTGCAAGGCTGGCATACCTGGCAGATATTTTTCATCATCTGAATGAGCTGAACACACGAATGCAAGGCCGAAATGAAAATCTGCTTACAAGTACAGATAAAATAAATGGATTCCGTTCAAAGGTGCAACTCTGGCATCAACACGTGGAAAGTGGCAATCTTGAAATGTTCACACTCACCAAGCAATGGCAAGGTGTTCACACTGCTGCACTGGGTGAGATAATAGTTAAACATTTAAAAACTCTAGAGGAGAAGTTGTCATTTTATTTCTCTTCAGTCTCCACTGAATGCCTTGACTGGGTTAGGGACACTTATAGCTCAGCATCAGTTGGTGGAAAGGACATGACTTTACAGGAGCAGGAGGAACTAACTGAACTGAGACAAAATCGTGGTTTCAAGCTAAGATTTGCTGATCTACCTTTGGACAGTTTTTTGGTTGGATACTGCCAAGGAGTTCCCCGTTCTGGCAAACAAAGCTATTTTGACATTGCTCCCATTTTTCCACTACATATCTGTGTGAGATGAGCTTTTCAAGCCTGATTGCTATAAAAACTAAAGCCACTGCAAGGGAAAATCTTTTTCCCCCAGAGTTCAGCTTTAATTTGAATCCCCTCAATACGTTTCTTCAATAATTTCTGGGTAGTGTAATATAGTGTAGTATAGACTCTGCTCTACACATGAGCTTCTTCTCTCTTCTAGTCTACTTCCTTCTCCACATACTTTCACTTTAGGCATCCTGACAAGCCTGATCTCTTCTCTGGAATTTCTTTTCAAATGGCATTTAGCTCCCTTCAGCTCTTGAAATGTCAATGAGCCTTTGTATCACTATTTTGTACTGAAAGTATATCTAAAAGCAAAACGGTTTTTTTGTCATTTTGTAAAGAGTATAGAGGGTTTAGAACAACTATTAGGTTTTTATTGCTGTCTGTGCCCCCATTAGGGAGATTCACCCTCTCTATACCTCTTCATCGAGAGTGAAAGTGAAAAGAAATCACACATTTTTGTTTGTAACTAGAACAGGAATAGAGGGGGAATCTTCTAATTGGGACACTAGCTCTGGTAACAAGAAAGAAATTCTCTCATTCTGGAGGGATTTCCTTTCACGTCTTCTTTTGGCTATGAGAAAGGAAGCAAAGGGAAATATTCCCAATAGGACACAGATGGCAAAAAAAAACCTGACATGGGTTACACCCTCCCCTTTACTCTACCCAAAATGAAAAGTAAATTAACAGTAATATATATATATATATATATATATATATATATATATATATTTATATATATATATATATATATTAGAAATAACAGTTTTATTTTATTTTATTTTTTTAGCTTTTTTTTTTAAACTTTAAGTGTTTAGTAGTTGCTGCAGAATTTAAGAGACACTGTCATTTTGCCCACAGTCAATCACATGGATGGGGTAGGGAGACATGACATCATCTTTCTATTTAAGCTCCAACACCAGCCCATACCAGACCTTAGTAGATAGTACTGTAATGTATAGTAACCCACAGCAACTAAGTTTCATATTAGTGAAATCAGATCAGTGAAAGATACATTATGATTGGTAGCTACGGTTACTATATTTGCATTTTGTATTATAAGCTTCCAAAATTTGTTGCCCTGAGGGTGCCTGGATAAAACATGCAAAGAAAACATGAGAGAAAAGTACACAGAGTTACACTTTATACTTATGCTTCCACGTACCGTTGTAAATAACATATCTGTTACTAGATATTGTGTTTTGACTTCAGTTGGGATGTACTCCAGATATTGCAGTCCCCAATTATCTCAACCTGTTGCTCTGTGCTTGTAATATGCTGAGTAAATATAAATACAAGTTGTCTTTCCTTTAAACGTCAGTAACATGGAATATGTTAGCTGTTCTAGTACAAGCTGGCAAAACAAGTGTTAGCTTCTTTTGACTTTACGAAATGTCTTCCCAGCGTCTTCCTAAAAACACAGTCCTCTAAAAACAGAGATTATTAATTAAATCACAAGAGGAAAACAGCACGTTTGTCACGTATACCAATGTGTAAAATGTTTACAAGATCAAAATAAACATATCTGGTTCCTATACTGCTTATTAAATTATTTCTGACAATAGAAAACAAATAGAGATGGACCAATATCGATTATTTTATTTATGAACCAAAAAATATTTTTGGATTAGTTATTTAAATACAGCGGGTAAAATAAGTATTGAACACGTAACCATTTTTCTAGGTAAATATATTTCTAAAGGTGCTGTTGACATGAAATTTTCACATGTCAGTAGCAACCCATGCAATCCATACATACAAAGAAACCAAAACAAATAAGTTCAGAAAATAAGTTATGTGTAATAAAATGGAATGACACAGAGAAAAAGTAGTGAATACATGAAGAAAGGGAGGTGCAAAAAGGCATGGAAAGCCAAGACACCATCTGAAATTTATCAGTAATTAGAAAGCAATCCTGCCCCTTGTCAGTGCAAATAATATCAGCTGGTTCAGTCTCAACTGATGGCCTATAAAATGATGTCACACAAGAAACATCTAGTGGTGGGTAAAAGGAAAGAGCTCTCTCAAAACCTTCACAACCCTATTGCTGAAAAACATACTGATGGCATTGGTTACAGAAGGATATCTAAACTTCTGAATGTTCTAGTGAACACTGTTGGGGCCATAATTCGGAAGTGGAAAGAACAACACTTCACCATAAACCATCCAGAAGAGCTGTCCAAGAGCCAAGAACCACTTGTGGAGAGCTTTAGAAAGACCTGGAATTAGCAGGTACTATTGTTTCAAAGAAAACAATAAGTAAATGTACTCAACCATCATGGCCTGTATGCACGCTCACCACACAAGACTGCATTGCTGAAGAAAAAGCATGCTGAAGCTCATTTCAAGTTTGCTGCACAACATTTAGACAACCCTGTGAAATACTGAGAGAATATAGTCTGGTCAGATGAGACCAAAATTTAACTCTTTGGATGCCATAATACACACCATACCAACAGTGAGGTTTGGAGGTGGGAACTTCATGGTGTGAGGCTGTTTTCCAACATACGGTACTGGCAAACTTAGTTTCATTGAAGGAAGGATGAATGGAAAAAATGTACCAAGACATTCTTTTCAATTCTTTTTTATTAACTTTTTCAAGAAAGAAACAATTACATAGACAGAAATTGGTCCAGACAAAAAAAAAATATACAAAACCAGTAGGCATAAACACATCCCGAGCACAATGACTTCTACGTTCAGAGGTCTGGTAAAGTAGTTGAATAATGGCCCATGGCCTATGAATGCATATACAGTATAATGAAGTGCTTTCAGAATAGCAATACATGTAATCAACATTTGAATAGACCTTTAAGGCATATCGTGTAAATATCGTGCCTATTATAGACAAAGAGAACTCAAGAAATAATTAAAAAAAAACAAAAAACAAAAAGGAGGGGAAAACACAAGAATAAAAAAAGAAAAGAGATAGAGAGAGATAAAACTAGAGCAGCAAAAACCAAATCAAAACACTGTGATATATGCATGTACCAAGACATTCTTGATAATTGCCATCTGCTAGGCTGATGAAGATAAAATGAGGTTGGACATTTCAGCAAGACAATGATCCCAAACCCAAAGCCAAGGAAACTCTTAATTGGTTTCAAAGAAAGAAAATAAAGCTGCTAGAATGACCCAGCCAATCACCTGACTTGAATCCAATAGAAAATCTATGGAAAGAACTAAAGATCAGAGTTCATAGAAGAGACACACGGAATTGAAGATTTGAAGACTGCTTGTGTGGAAGAATGGGCCAAAATCACACCTGAGCAATGGATGCGACTAGTTTCTCCATACAGGAGGTGTCTTGAAGCTGTCATTACCAACAAAGGATTTTGTACTAAGTATTAAATACATTTCAGTTAGAGTGTTCAATACTTTTTCCCTGTGTCATTCCATTTTATTTCACATAACTTAATTTCTGAACTTATTTGTTTTGTTTTTTTTGTATGTATGGATTGCATGGGTTATTGCTGACATGTGTTGAACATTTCATGTCAATAGCACCTTTAGAAATATATTTACCTGGAAAAATGGTGACGTGTTCAATACTTATTTTACCCACTGTATGTATTACCAGGACTTTTTTTTTTTTTAGCAGGAGTGCCGGGAAATGCAGTTCTGGCACCTCTAGCACTAAATGTATACAATGGTAAGAGGTGCTGGAGGTCTATTTACGCAGGCTGCTGGGGGATCCATTTTTGCTGGTGGGGCTCTAATGTTGCTGGGGATCAATTGTTGCTGGGAAGGATCTAATGTTGCTCAAGAAGGTGTCCCCATCAAAAGATTTATCATTCCTTTAGGTCTTGCAAGAAAGGTATCCTGGGAAAAAAATAAACTTGACTGGGGAGATAATCTGCCAGCTTTATTCGAAGCTAGGAAAAAATTATGCCAAGCCAGAATCCCAAGATATCACATGTAAACATATTGACTTTACTGAAAATTTGAATATAGCGAAGAAACTGTGAATCCTTAACCTGTCAGATCACAAAAGTTCAGAACTGGAAATATCAGTTCTCTCTAAAAGGTCTCATATTCTGCCCAACCACCAAACTGGATTACAGTATATACACATCTAGTGTATACCCATGAGGGAGCTGCTGGATTGTTTTGGGTCCCTCTGTCCTGCACCTGTGATAAACTGCCCTTACCTGGAAGACCAACACACCTGTTGTATTTTAAATGAGCTATATTTAAAAGGGCAAGACCTTGGAAAGAGAATGGGTTAGTTGAATAACAAAGCAAAGGCATTAATACCAGAGAATTAAACTTTCAGGCACAGCATAGGCTATATGTAGAATGCTAGTGATGGAGCCCTTGCACTGAAATGCTCACTTAGGTAAACAAGATGATGGCCTGTCATGTACCTGAATAAGGCCGAGTTGACAAGAGGGCTGCCCATACACCTCTTGTCCAGTTTCCCCTGGGAATGATGAAAAGATATAACGGCACAGAGTGGCACAGGTGCCGGTAGGAGATCTGTTTCAGAATATCTTGATAGCAGCTGTGGATCTGAAGCACTGGGACCTTCCTCCCTGAAGCAGTACATCATACAGCACATAGTCTCTGTAACAGTCAGTTCTCCCAGTAACAGAGGCAGCAAAGAGTCCCTGGCAAAACAACACAAATGGCCTTTTGTCTTCTAGATGCACAGCTGTGATATGGCAGAAGCAAAACTCAATCAGTACAAATGGTCCTGCAGTTCTCTAACAGATGCTCACAGCATCAGTCATGTACTTCTCTGCAGACTGGACTCACAGCTCAGATTGAAGCACAGTAGTGATGGAAGCAGTCTATGCAGTAGGCTCCGAACCAGTATGCAGCCTCTCTCACTGGACTCACTGCAGTACTATATTCCCAAGACCTCCCTCTCTGGGCTCTCGAAGCAGCAAAGTTTTTCCAGGCCAATTCCCCAGGATCCTACCTGCCCATGGGCCCAACAGATTCCCTGTTCCTCTGCTCTCCTGCCTAAAGCCCTAGACTCACACTGATCCACCTCTCTTTTGCCCTGTTACTAGGAGCAGGTACTCTTGGTTTGAAGCAACATTCAATCATTTAGCTTATATGATATTAGTTTCTTACCAAACCTAGGGCACCCTCTTCTGGGTCTCCAAACACATGCTCTGATTCAGTAAAATCAAGTTCAAGTTAGATAGCGGTAAATGTTGCTGTGAGGCAATCCCTCTTTTCTTTCAATAAAAGTGGTTTAAGTACTCTTTGATACAGTCTGATCTCACCAGGCATCCAAATCATACCCTCCCAGGGAGAATGTTCTCAGTCTCTTTACTTTTCTGAGTTCTCATCCAATTGTGGTCAACTATGGTAAGGATTCCATTCACCCAGCAGCAGCAGCTTAGTCTCTTTCCCCACACACCTTTAGTCTGTCCTCCATTCTCTCCTCAACAGTATGCAGATCCCCTTCTCCTTGCATTATTGTATCAGCCAATCACCTTCATCTGGGACTGAATCACACCCAGCCAAAATGGCTGTCCCCTGCACTGGAGACACTCCATAGATGACCATTGCAAAGTGGTTTCTTTAACGAGGGCTGCTGCACTTCTGCATTAATGAATATTCAGTTTAATCCTGTCCACACTGCAGAAAGATAATACAAAAGTAACAAAGCAAGAAGTTCCACAGGTTACACACTCTGATATGGAGGATTTCTTCGAGTGACTTAGGCTAAAGGACATTTTTCACAGAAATCAAGGTAATCCTGTAGCAATAGAATGTCACAAGAAGAAAAAGAGCAGCAAGTTCACAACTTAGCAAGATGTAACCCCAAACTGGACACAATATTAACAGGTTTAGACTGCAAATTATATCCCTGATATCCAGCCAGCAAAACATATGTTATACAATCTTTCCCTACTGGAGCAAATGGCTGTACAGGAGTCACACAACAATCAGGCCATCATTATTAAACCAGCAGATAAAAAGACTGCGGTAGTTGTGATAAACAAAAACATATACAGCATATGCAAGAGAGCTTGCAGATGATGTTTGCTATAAAAAAATGGAATATACTCTAACACAGGCCTTGAAATTTCCACTCGCCTGCTCACCAAAGGCGAGTGGAAATTATGGTGGCGATGAGTGTTTCCCACAGGGCCGTCTTGCTGAGCAGGTTCTGAGCTCAGGCAGGTCTGTCATTGGCACTGGGAGCCGTCAGACTGCTCAATAGCTGAGCGCAGTGAAAGCAAAGGAAGGAGTGTGTGCTGTGCTCTCTGCCTCCCCCTAGAGTGCATTACCCGGCTCTGTGAGTGAACAACGAAGTACTGCAACTTTTTATAGGGTTGTGTGTGCCTACCTAATTTCAGCTCACTCTGGTCACATGATCCTCTATGTCAGCCAATGGTGGCTTCAGGGGAGAGGAGAGAGCACTTATCAGCGTGCATGTGTGTGTGTACATGTGTGTGTGTTTGTGTGTGTCTGTGCATGCATGTACATGTGTCTGTGTGTACATACATGTATGTGTGTTTGATCTGGCTCAACCCAATAACCCCGCGTGGAGCATATGAAGTATTTTCTCACTGTTAGAGGGCAGGGCCTGGCTGAACAATCTTTTTCCCTTAAGAGCTGGCCTTGGGCTAAAAACTTCATTATGCTGTGCTTTATGTGGGTTGTGCTGGGTTGAGCCTTATTATAGGCATGGCCCTGCTGACACCAGTGGTCCTAGGGAGGCGAGACTAAAATCTGGGGGGATGCACAGCACCTCAGCACCAACCTAGGTGCACTGCAAGGCACACTCGTTGTTGACAAACAATGGCCCCAGGGGATAATATGGGGAAATGTATTGAGGAATATGGAACCCCCCATTTTTAAGAAGGGGCATCCAGATATGCACCCTCTCCCAGAGGAATTAGTACCCTTTACCCATTCCAACTAAGAGTTAAAGAATAAACACACACACACTTGAGAACTTCCATCTTGCATCCATGTTAGAGCGATAGGTGTCCTAGCAAAAGGCTACTAGAAAAACACTGCTGCTGTCAGTGGGAAGAAGAAGGGCTAGTCACATGCTCCCCTATATGCAGATGTACTGTTGGGGGGGCCAAGGGAAGGTAAGGGAAGGCCAGTATTAAAATGAATCTATTGCTTTGCTTTGCATGCCAAAAAGCTAATGCATTGTATTTTGTACATTTAAAGAAAAGCCTGTAACTGATCTATGAACCACCTCTCGTCCTTTAGGCCATTTGTAAATTGCTTAAGATTGAAGTGGTTATACTGGGATCATGGTTGAAGCTACAGCCAGCAATTCCCTACATTGTAAAAGTGGTCAAAGTGGTAATTTAGCCGCTGTATCACTTTATCAGGAGGCGGAAGAGGGTCCCCCTCACCACCCTTGCTGCAGCCTTTTCTGGGATCTCCCATCCAATCAGGGAGGTAAGGATGCGATTGGTGTCAGTTTCCAGACTTACAGTGAGAGGAATTGATGCAGTTTCTCCTACTGTGTGATATCAGAAACCGGAAGCAACAAGGATTTTGTCACTTCTGGCTTGAGCCTAGTGTAAACAAGCCATTTCTGGCTTGTGAAAGCATCTAATCAAACTCATCTCAGTTCTCAGTTTGATCACATGCTTTGGAGGCTAGAGGAGAGATCTGGGGTCTAATAGAAATGTGCATTGTGCGACAATTAGAAATAAAGTGCAACTGAGTTAAAGTGGCTGTAAACCCTTACATTTACCCACTGAAGTGACAAATGACAAATCCTCCTACATAAGTTGTACCTGTTTATCTGAGCCCTCTCTTCTTTACATCCGTTCAAAGTGCCGAATTTATAGAACTTGTTTGAGCTTTAAGAAAGCAAGGGTCGGAGAGCTGAAATTTACACTCTGAAGAGCTCATTGTGGAGAGGTGAGTGCTGATTGGGAAGGGGGGGGAGATACACCCTCCTTCACACAGCATACAAGAACAGAGCTGGGATGTTCAATCACAGGCTGTGTGTTGGAGCTTTCTCCCATTACCTTTATTCCTTTGATGTCAGGAAAACCTGTCAGAAGTGACCCATGCAGATAGCAGACGAACAAAGCAGCAAACAGAAATTACACTTAGTGCTCTGGATGTGTAAGGTTTACAACCACTTTTATAAATGAACCCCACAGTATTTTCAATATTTTACAGTCACATGGCCTAAGATAAAGATCCTTATCCTGGTGTTAAAACTTTGTAAATTGAACTTGTAAAGTGTAAATTATATACTGCTAATATAATCAGATGGGATTGCCCATCAACACCACTGCATTACAGTCTGTACTGTAATGTTTTACTTTTGCTCTTGTCCTGAAAAGTCACGCTTTAATAAGTTTGTTTCCCTCCTCCTTTTCTAGCACCCTGCTGTAACACTGTTTTTGTTGTTTTGCTATCTGTTAGTAGCCAGTCACATGTATTGACAATGTGATAACTGTCTGTATCTGTCACTGTAGGACAGATCTCATGTTTTTCTGGCAATGTCAATTATGAAAGCCCTTTTTTTCGTTCAATTATCCCAGGTTTAGGAAAAGCTTTCATTATTTGCAGAAATCATCTTAATGCTGTTTTGAAGCCATCAATGAAAATATAGGCTGAAGCACTCAAAGTACTTACAGGAGAGGCTTCCATTATTTGAGTAATAACTTGTTCATTAAAGAGAAGGGAATTATTGCTGAAAATACAGAATATTTTTATAGCATGAATTATGCCTGCTGAAAGCAGAACATTGACTTAAATATGCATTGCTTTTTTCCTTAAGATCATAGATTTATTGCTACACAATTATTTGTGATAATTCCCATTTATAAAGCAACGTGTACAATCTGCATCATAGCTTGTCTGTTTTTTCACTGTTTTGTTTTGCTGGTGTTGAAAGTTAAAGTGTTACTAAACCCAGGGTGCTGCATTCACTATATCTGGTCTCCCACAGTACACAGAACATGGAAATGCAATTATTTTAGTCAATATAAACTGCTAAATACCTTTTTCATCAGCACTATATAGCAGTCTTGTGACTTCTATCAGTGTCCAGCAGAACACTGGTTAAAGCTTGTAGCAGTGGCAGAACTACCAGGGTCGCAAGATTCGCACTTGCGACTGGACCCTGGAGTTCTGCCACTGTAAGGGGGCCCACCGCCCTCTGCCTGTCACATGCCACCTGCCATACCAGAGAGAGGCAATCTAGTATCACTTACAGGCAGGCACACAGTATCCACACTGTTTCCAGCTGTAGGGCGGGGAGATGCCATGTTGGGAGGAGGAGACTGAACAAGGTCAGCTGACCTGGGTAGGGCCAGTAGAGTGAAGGGGGAGGAGCTCTTTGCCTTGAGAGGAGACCCTATATCGGTAGAGGAATTACTGGAGGCACCTGAAGGAAAGAAGCTGGAGATACAAAGAGACTGAGCAAGGAAGGGAACTGAGTGATCTGCAAGTGAGTGCCACTGATCCCATTCCCCATATCAGCACTGCCACTGACTGAGGGACCCCATGTCAGCACTGCCACTGATCCCATCCCCCCACCACTGCTGTTGATCACATACCACCCACTACCACCACTGTCAATAATCCCCCATTACCACTGCCAATGACCCCATCCCCTCCCACTTCCACCGCTGCTACTGATCACCTCACCACCACCACCGCTGCCACTGAGCCTTATCCCCCGACCACCACACTGCTACTAATCCCATCCCTCCCACCACCACCACTACTGTCACTGATTTTATCCTGCACAACCTCTGCCACTGATCACACCCCCCCACCACCACCACATCTACCACTAACCACACACCCCCCACCACATCTGCTACTAATCACCCCCCCCACCACCACCACTACCACTGATCACCCCACCACCACCACCGCTGCCACTGACCCCATCCCCCCACCACTGCCACTAATCCCATACCATCCCTCCCACCACCACCACTGCCACTGATCGTATGCTGCACCACTTCCGCCACCGATCACCCCCCCCACTACGTCTGCAACTAATCACCCCCCCCATTACCACCGCCACTGATCCCATCCCCCACTGCCACTGCCATTCATCCCATCCTGCACCACTGCTGCCATGGATCACCCTCCACCACCACCATCGCTGCCACTGATCCGGTCCCCCCTACCACCACTTCCGCCACAGATCACCCCCCCCACTACGTCTGCAACTAATCATCAACCCCCAGCATTACCACCGCCACTGATCCCATCCCCCACCGCCACTGCCATTCATCCCATCCTGCACCACTGCTGCCATGGATCACCCTCCACCACCACCATCGCTGCCACTGATCCGGTCCCCCCTACCACCACCACTGCCACTGATCCCCCCCCGCTGCCACTGATCCCATCCCGAACCACTGATCACACTCCACCACCACTGCCCCCGATCTCATCCCCCACCAGCAGTGCCACTGATAGCATTCCCCCCACCACCACCGCTGCAGGATGAGTGGGTGGGAAAGCCCAGCAGCCTGCAACTACTGTACATGGTGGAGGAACTATGCAGTGTGGTGCCCTCTGAAGTGACCCCCTCTTTTCTTTCTCTCCTGGCTCTGAATATACTAATGTTAGGGGGACTCAGATATAAGGGGTGCTCAGTGGACTCTGCTGTAAGTGGGGGCTTTGGTGAGTAGAGACCCCCTTACACTAGAGTTCTCCTTTACACCAGAGTCCACACAGCATTCCCCTTACATCAGAGCCCCCCTTAAATCAGGACTCCCAGAGCACTGCTTTCAGAGCACTCTCCTTACAGTGAAATTATGCAGACCGTGATGTAAGGGGGGCTCTGGGAACCATGATTTTAAGGGAGCCTCTGATGTAAGGGGGAACGCTGTGGATTCTGGTGTAAAGGGTGCTCTGTTCCTGCAGGTTCCTTACATCAGAGTCCCCAGAGATGTCCCTTACATAGGAGTCCTCAGAGATGTCCCTACAGTGTAAGGGAACTCTGCAAATTCAGATGCAAATGGGAACTCGGCAAATTCAGATGCAAAGGGGAACTCTGCAAGTTCAGATGCTATGGGGAACTCTGCAGATTCAGATGCAAAGGGGAAGTCTGCAGATTCAGATATAAAGGGAAAGTGCCGTGTGCTGCTAAAGTGTTCAGGTTTGGCTTGAAGAAAAGGTGGCAACCCTACACAAGATGGCAGGAAATGGGCCTTCTGCAAGATATGTGAAAGGTTCCTGCTGCAGCACCATAATAAAAGGACCCCGTGATGGGAGTAAAGGGCTCCGGCATTGGTGGGAAGGGCCCGGGACCAGTGGTCAGGGGGGCCCTTCATGGTTTCTTGCACCGGGGCCCTGGAGGTTCTAGTTACACCTCTGGCTTGTACGAGGAGCTTTCGTTCTCTGCTGATTGTCCTATGAGGCTTCACGAACCCTGACCCTCGGTCTGGAAAGTGATAATCGGTCCTGTGCTGATCACATGCACCCTCCCCCAAAAAAAAAAACAACTCTCTAGCAATGCACACTAAACTGAGTATGTGCAGAGTGACT